TCTCTCTGCTATGACCATAATTAACTCTCTAAAACAGATCTAAGCATTCCACTCCCAGGCTTATTACGGGTCTCTGATGACTCCAAATGCCTCAAGGGGAAGACTAAACTGTTCAGCATGACATTCCAGGTCCTTCAGAATTTGGCCTCATTTTATTTTCTAGTTTCATGGCCATAAAAATTTCATGGCTCATGTTACTTTTTCAGCCTAGAATCACATGTATTCTTTTTCCAAACAAGTTTCTACTCATTCTTCAAAGCCCAGATCAAGGGAATGCCCTTTATGAAGACTTGGATTTTTGTAGGCAGAACTGATTGCTCCTGCTTTTGAACTCTTTGTACTTGGTGTGCTTGTATGTGTATGTGTGTGTGCACCTACGAATACAATTAAATAGTATATAATAATAGCTAACATTTAAATTTGACTATGTTTCAGGCATAGTGCATTATCTCATTTAATTCTCACAACTAGGAGGTGAGAATTATTACTACTTCCAGATTCAGAAACTTGCTCAAAATTAAAGAAATTGAAGAAGACACAAATAAATGGAAAGATATTCATTCTCATGGATTGGAAGAATTAACATTATTAAAATGTCCAAGGGGCCGGCCCCGTGGCTTAGCGGTTAAGTGCGCATGCTCCGCTACTGGCGGCCCGGGTTCAGATCCTGGGTGCGCACCAACACACCGCTTGTCCGGCCATGCTGAGGCGGCGTCCCACATACAGCAATTAGAAGGATGTGCAACTATGACGTACAACTATCTACTGGGGCTTTGGGGGGAAAAAAAAAAAAATAAATAAAATCTTTAAAAAAAAAAAAAAAAAAAAAAAAGAACCTAATTAGAACTCCCACCTAATTATAAGTGATTCTGAAATTCTATATTAGGAAAAAGACTAATCAAAAGACAACAAAGAAAACAAAGCCTTGTCAGAGTTGGTTGGTTTAAATCCACAAAAAATAAGTTCAGGAATATGCTATATACATTCAGTCTAAGTGACACTACCTTTTCGCAGTATGTACAGCAAATACTCATCAGAGGCAGCTGCTGTCTCTCAGGTAAATCACTCCCAGGCAGATCTCCCCATCTCTGACCTCTCCCCTGCTTCAGTCTCTTCTCTCTGCTATGACCATAATTAACTCTCTAAAACAG